GGGGAAGCATTCATGTTAGTCAAAAGAATGAAGTTTATGCTTTTTAGAAATAAACTTTATACCAGTAACACTCCTATCAGAAAAACTTGGTTCCTGAGTATTGGGGAGAGATTTTGCTTAAATATCTTATGGAATTTTGTATACATTTTGCTTTAGAAAAATAAATCCCAGAAAGCATGATATTTCAAGTTTTATAAATATTAGATAAATTGCATTGTATTTTGGATAACTGAACCATAAATAAATTTATTCATAAAAAATAAGCTTTATTGCCAACAAATTAGGTACTCTATATAAAATAGGCAAATTCCTAGAAATGAACAAATTACCAAAACTGAGTCAAGACATAAAAAAAAATCTAAGCAGACCTATAACAATTAAAGAGTTTGGATCAATAATCAAAAATCTCCTAACAAAGAAAGTACAGAGCCAGATGGGTTCACTGGTGAATTCTATCAAACATCTAAAGAATTGACACCAATTCTTCTTAAATTCTTTCAAAAAAAAAAAAAAAAAGAGCTAACACTTCCTAATTCATTCTATAAAACCAGCATTACCTTGCTTCCAAATCAGACAAAGACAGATTATACACCATGACAAACTAAAATTTATTTCAGGAATACAGGGATGGTTCAACATACAAAAATCAATCAGTGTGATATACCACATTAATAGAATAAAGGGAACAACAAGGACAGTAATATGAAAATAAAGCTCTTTGTTATTTTTTAAAAAAAAGGTTTTTTTATTTAAAAAGTTTTTTAATAACAAAGCCTTATTTTCATATTACTGTCCTAGGTTTTTTAGCTGTTGCTCCCTTCATTCTATTAATTTGTGGAATATAATGAACAACATAAACTGATGAACAAAAACAGATTCAGAGACAGAGAAGCATCGATCAGACCATCAAACCTCAGAGGGAAGGTTGGGGAGGGTGAGGGTTAGAGGGAGAGATCAACCAAAGGACTTGTATGCATGCATATAAGCCTAACCAATGGACACAGACACCAGGGGGGTAAGGGCATGAGTGGGGGAGGGGAGGAGGGGCAATGGGGGGATAAGGACACATATGTAATACCTTACACAGTAAAGAAAAAAAATAAAATTAAATTAAAAATAAAGAGGAAAATGGACTCATCTCACTAGATAAGAAAATGCATTTGACAAAATTTAACACACTTTCATGGTAAAAACTCAGCAAACTAGAAAGAGAATGAATTTGCTCAACCTGTTAAAAGGCATTAATGAGTCCTGGCCGGTGTGGCTCAGTTGATAGGAGCATGGTCCTGTACACACTCTGTACACCAGAAGTCACAGGTTCCATTCCCTGGTCAGGGCACATACTCAAGTCGCGGGTTCAGTCCCTGGTCTGGGTGTGTACATGAGGTAACCAAGCAATTGACATTTCTCTCTCACATCAGTGTTTCTCCCTCTTCCTTCCTCACTCTCTAAAATCAATATTTTTAAAAAGGCATTCATGAAAAACCCACACCCAGCAATATACTAAATGGTAAAAGATTGAAAGCTTCTCCTCTACAATCAGAAAAATGCTCACTTTCACCACTGTTGGTCAACATTGTACCAGAAGTTCTAGCCAGAGCAATTAGGGAAGAAAAATCAAGGAAACCCCAATTAGAAAGAAAGAAGTAAAACTATCTCTATTGGCAGTTATGATCCTGTAGATCAAAAATCATCAAGAATCCACACACACACCCAAAATCTGTGAGCCCTAGCCGGTTTGGCTCAGTGGATAGCGTCGGCCTGCAGACTCAAGGGTCCCAGGTTCGATTCCGGTCAAGGGCATGTGCCTTGGTTGCAGGCACATCCCCAGTGGGGAGAGTGCAGGAGGCAGCCGATTGATGTTTCTCTCTCATCGGTGTTTCTAGCTCTTTATCCCTCTCCCCTCCTCTCTCTGTAAAAAATCAATAAAATATATTTTTAAAAAAAGAAAGAAATGCAGTATTGATAGGGATATTAGTATCATGACTAGCCTTGACTGACACCCTATGTTACCCAGCCCTGAGTAGTTATTTCCTTTGAGCTAATGAGGTGCATCTAGAAAGTGAAGTCAGGGAAGCTTAGGAACCATGTTCAGGGCCCTCTGTCTATGCCCAGGCTGAAGTTGGGCCCATTTAATGACAATTCTTTGTGGGTAACAAACAATTATATTTAATTGAAGTATTTTAAGATAGCTTTATATTAGAGAGTGATATTATTTATGTGATGTTTGTGCCTTAAAAGAACTGTAAGCTGGGAAGGCACACATGGCTGAATGACTATTGGGTTATGCTGTAAGTCAGCAGTTCTCAACCTGTAGGTCGCAACCCCTTTGGGGGTCAAATGACCCTTTCACAGGGGTCGCCTAAGACCATCGGAAAACACATATATAATTACATATTGTTTTTGTGATTAATCACTATGCTTTAATTATATTCAATTTGTAACAATGAAATTTGGGGTCCCCACAACATGAGGAACTGTATTAAAGGGTCGCGGCGTTAAGAAGGTTGAGAACCACTGCTGTAATTGATTGCGTGGCAACACTGAGGTTAGAGAAGCTGTCATTTAAAGAGCTGTCTCTGTTAGTGACGAGAATAGCTGTGCTGTGTGAGAGATTCAGAGAAAGA